TGCTGTTTTGGAGCACATGCCTCTTTCTAGGCCATGAAAAACAACTAACAAGCAATAAACAAACCCTCGAAAGTAACTCAGAAGTGTCTTGATGGCAGAAAAAATGTCATATCAAATCTAGCAAGGTAAGTTTTAGTGAGAACAAGCATACTGACTGTTGTAAGCAGAAATTCACTGATTAAAGCATTTTTCATTCATGGTTTTACCTGAGTTCCTACATATTGGAGGCAATTAATCATCAAATTGTAAATATACTTAGTGCATTTGCCCTACTTAGCACAACAATGATGCAGCTGCTTCAGAGAAAAGTGTATCCAATGTTAAGCTAATTAAGCTGTGACCCACTGATACTGGTCAGGTGATATTACAGGATATAAAAGGAAAGCAGTTTGTAATCCAGTCTAAAATCACACACTCAGTTTATAAGTCACCACAAGAGACTATGGCAGAAAAACGCATAGCAAATAATGCTACAAAAGCAAACATTCTGCTTCTCAAATGGTAGCTAACTTTGAAATGTCCTTATATTTTACAGATGGAATAGATTTTCCACAAGCATTTAGAAGAAATTTTGAAGAGATGAGAGTGTTTTTGCATATACTCATATACTGATACCTCTGATCAGATTTTGGAAAACATGCAACTGAAATACGCATGCAAAAGCTGTCAGTTTCCATTGTACAGTTACACAGATTTATCTCTGTAGGGCTCCTTGTGACTTCATAAATTCTGCCTTTCCCTCTATTAATAACACAGAGAGAGGATCTGAGGGAAAAAATAAGTGAGGAAAAAACTTAATTCACAGAACTGCCTAGGCCTGGAAATATAAAGGGAAAAGAATGAGTTTACCCAGTTTTAGTATTACCCACTTTAAGGTTATTTCTAAATGTATTTTTAGAGTTTCATTTAGGACTTGGTTCTTCAAGGTATCCCTTATATATGTGATTTAATAATGAGAGTAGTCTTACTGACTCTGGTGGAATTTGCTCATGTGAATGAAGAGTGCAAAGCCAGAGGATTAAAATCCAGAGTATGTGTGTAGCTTACATAATTTCAAGCCTGTCAAAACTCATGTCTATATTATCATCTGCCTATGTTACATAACATGAAGGAGCTCTGAGTTGTTTGTTCTTCCCCATATGCCTGAAACACATGTGGTCTTCAAAATTTCTGATTGCGTACATTGTCACCCAGGAAAAAGTAAAAATAAATGCAATACAAATAAACCATTCATTTTGGAGAAGGTCAGAGACAAATACTACCCCCACACAGTATTTGGACAGGAACACAAATCCATGCAGTGCACTTGTTTACCAGTAAGATCTTTCATTCTCATTTGCCTCCTGATCCAATCTTTAATCAGTATCAGTGCAGCCTTTACCTAAGTCATGGAATCAGTCTCTTTTTCATGGTTCCCCTCAAGCTGAGCAGCAGCACATTCCTCAGCATTTCAGGCTGGAGTCAGTTTGGTTTAAGAGTGATCATGTCCCCCCAGAAACACTCAGGACTTAGCAGGATTGAAATTAGCAAGTCTATGTTTGGTTTTTGTTCTTATTACTTTATGAAAATCTAGTTTCAAGCCTTTCTCCTTCACCTTTTTCTAGGATGCTAGGGAGGAAAAATCAGGTGATATCTTAAGTGTTACTGCAAGAAAAAAGCTAAACAGAGATAATTATTTGTATTCATTATAGTGCATGAAAACTAGAACAGATAGTGAACCAGGCAGCAGTACTGCATGCTTGTGCATGCATGCAGCATTAGTTATGGTTTGACCTGCTTGTAAAGAAACTTATCAGTGAAAACTAAACTTAATTAAGAGGTTGGGGGAAAACGCATCGAAGCACTTGATTTTCCTTTTGTGAAAACTGTTGCAACTTTATGAGTTTAGACAGATGTGTGGCTGACTTACACCTGTGTGGCTGAGAAGAGGATCACAACCATTTTGCCCACGGATGCTACTGGATACAGTACTAAATTAACTCAAGACATCTTTTTTTCTGTTCAGAACTGAATTCAGTATTTTCCCTGTATGAAATCCAGATTTCAAAAAATCAGTAGAAAACCCATTATTTGTAGCATGATCAGAGTCTTACCACCTACTTTTTCGTTCATTGCATGCTTTAATTCCTGGGTTTTGTCCAGTGTAAGCATCTGTCTGCATCCTGAGGCAGAGCAAGATGCTCACAGATATTGCTACATAATCAAATAGTTCATTTAGTCTTGTAAAGCTTCTTTGAAGGGAAGATGCTGTCTTTTACCTGAGCAAATAAGCCTTGTGATAAAAGAGAATATTTTGCCTGCAGGAGGAAGAAATCTTTAGATTTCTACATAGCCTTGATGACACAGTAATTTAAATTACTTTTCTTCACCTGTGAATCAATAGATCTATATCCTTCATGAGCCGCAAAAGCCCTCAACCACTAACGCTCGAGAGGGCTCAGCAATCCTCTGCCAAAAGCAAGAAAATGGTGCAACGCTGGAAAGTGCCAAAGTAGGGCTGTGCCTCACCCGGGCACCAGGTCCGGCTCCCCGGGGCCCCGGGCCGAGCCCTCGCCTGCCCTGCGAGGGGTGGCCCAGGAGGAGAGGGGCCGCGGGCGGGCTCGGTCCCCGCGGGCCTCTGGAGGGAGCCCCAAATCCCCACGGGGCCTCTGGAGGGAGTCCCGGTCCCTGAGGGCCTCTGGATGGAGCCCAAATCCCCGCGGGGCTTCTGGGTGGAGCCCCGGTCCCCGAGGGCCTCTGGAGGGAGCCCCGGGCCCCGCGGGGCCTTTGGAGGGAGCCCCGGTCCCCGAGGGCATCTGGAGGGAGCCCCAAATCCCCACGGGGCCTTTGGAGGGAGCCCCGGTCCCCGCGGGGCCTCTGGAAGGAGCCCCGGTCCCCGCGGGGCCGCTGGAGGGAGCCCCAAATCCCCACGGGGCCTTTGGAGGGAGCCCCAATCCCCGCGGGGCCGCTGGAGGGAGCCCCGGTCCCCGCGGGCCGCTGGAGGGAGCCCCGGGGCCGCGCCGCCTTCAGCACCGCGGGGCGGACAGCTCTCGGAGCCGCGCTCCGCGCGTCCCCCGCGCAGCCCCGCGCTGCCCTCCGCGCCCGAACCAGCGCCTCCCCGACCCCTCCGAGCTCCTCTGGCCTCCGGTGGGAGCCAGTCCCGGGGCGGGAAAGGGTCCGGCCTCTCCCGCAGGGGCTGGAGGCAAAGGGCCGAAGCGGCGGGCTGTGTAAAGTGTTCCCGGGCAGCCGGTGTAAATCAGCACCGACGTGGAAGAAGTTGCACGGATGCTGTTAAGGAGGTTTATATATGTAGTTCATGGAGGCAATCATCTGGCTGGTAATCTCTCATTGTGAACCGCTCCAAGGCAGTTTGTTCACACAACTGGCTGCAAAACAAAGATACTAGTATCTCTCCTGGGAAATGTCTGTGGGAAATGTGTGTGGTGTGTGTGTGTGTGTAGCAGCTAAACAGCGGTGATACTGGTGCGTAATGAGACAGCAGCACATTACTCATAGCTCCAGGAGAGGACATGGAAGTAAATTAAGAAATCAGCATAACTCACACAGCTTTTGACCCGTCACTAGCAGCACCAGCAGTGCACGGGAGTAAGACATGGCATGCGGCTGCAGTTCATTCATCAGCACATCACCAAGGGCTGGGCAACAGCTCTGCCACAGCCTAATTGCCTCACATCCACAGGGCTCAGCCAGGCACAGCACACCCAAAACAGGTGAGCAGCTTTTCCCAAAACAGGTGAGCCCAATCCCTGGGACGTGAGGTGAGGCAGCCCACAGACAACCAGTGCATGTAGTAAGGGCATGGGCGGGGGTGGGCAGGAGTTTCAGGAGAACCAAGGAATCCCAAGGTGTCCCAAGAATCATGGGCATCAGACTTCCAGGTGGAAGATCAGTCACTTCCCAGGTGCACATCCCAACAATCATATAAAAAACACACCACTAGCAACAAATTTCTCTGTACCCTCCCACCTTTCGTGATTATCTGACAGTATCTCCACCCTCTTCTCCCCAATTCCATGGAACAAACCAAATGGAGATGATAATCTGCTATGAAATATTGATAGCACTGAGATGTGACAGTCTGGAAAGGGAGGGAAAAGGGAGCAGCAAGAATCTCCAGGATTAAGTTGTCCTAGTACACACTATTTTCTTGCCTTGCAGGGATAGGGAGTTTGATGGATTTTCACTTTACTGTGGAAGAAGTCATCTGTGTGTGAAGTCAGGTGAGACCTGGTTTTAACCCCTCAGACCCATCCTGACCAGTGCCTCTCAGCAATCTGCACTACACAACACTCCATGTAACCAGCACTCTCTCCTAGAGATCACTTGTAAGGATTCAGCACAACAGTGTTTGCCCTTTGACCACCGTCAGAAAAGGCTTCTTAGTGTCCTCTAACGCAGCCTAGGATCTCACACCAAATCTTCCAGGGAAGCTTTGCTCTGGCTTCACTGAGGTTTCACAGGTTTCTCCTTGCAAAAGAGCAGCATGCTTTGCTCCTGTTTTCCCATAGCTCAGTTCAAGCTACCCTTCACCTGTAAAAGTACCAGTTGCCCCAGCAGATTCAGAGTTAAAAGGCATGAGCAGTAAAATGGGAGCACTGGGAGAGTTTGGCCAAGGCAGGGTCATCACAAAGCCCAAACCACTGCTGGAAGTCAGGGAGGGGAATAAATAATAAATGACCCATCCTCCCCACTTGCCCCAGGAGCTTCTCTCCCCAGTACTATTTCAAGAGACAGCAATGTAGTGAATACAAGCAAAGGGGACAGGGTGGTTGGAAAGTCCCAACTCCCAGCTTGAGGTGAAACACTGGGATGGGCAATGGGAGACTGAAGAAAAGGAGACAAGAAGGTTGATTTTTTTGCCTATGAGCTCTCCTCCAGATAATGAACTTCTGAGCACCTGATTAAAAGGGAAGGGATCTTTTGGGACACCCCCCCTCAACTCCTCTCACTCAGGGTGATGGAGAAAGAGGACTGTTCCCACCCTCTCCTCACCACAGTACCTGGTTGAGGGAAGTCACGGCAAACCTGGGGATAACCAGCTGCATGACGAGCTGCAGGACAGAGGTGACCAGTCCAGCGAGGATGGCCCAGGTGAGTGGCAGCGGGAGCATGCTGTAGGTCGCAAAAAGCGTGAAAAGCACATAGCCAATGCCGTCCCCAAGAAGGCCACAGCCCAGTCCTGCCGCCAGAATTTGCGTGGCCATGGCCACCCAAGTGACAACACCACTGTACTGCAGGTAGGTGTATGAGGTCGTGTCCTTCCTGACCACCACTAAGGCACAGATCACCACCTCAATGCCAGTGAAGAAGCCCAAGAGGATGCCCTTAATGGGGTCCATGGGGGCAGAGGCCAGGGTCAAGTGGAGGAACAGTAGGGTCAGCTTGGTCAGCACGTCCAGGATGTTCATGACCACCTCAGATTTGCGCCGTTGACCCAAGAAGTAGCGCTGGTAAAGGCGCTCTAAGTCCCGAGACTTAAAGGAGTTGCGGAGAGTGGGGAAGATCACCCCGCGATATGTATAGCCCCAGTTGAGGAAGAAGTCGGAGTTGCTGGGGGCACAGTCCAGGGGCAGAAAGCCCAAGTCTCCACTGCTGCTTGTGCCCTCCGGGAAGACTTTGGTGCCTCCGTTGTTGTGGCGCTCGCTGCCCAAACTCCGTCCGGCCGACTGCCGCCGGAGGTGGTGCGGCGGGTGCGGGTGGTGGTTGGGGCAGCCGGTCTCGTCGGAGCTGAAGCCCTTGCCCCCGCCGCTGCTGCTGCCGCCGCTGCTGCTGCTGTGCTCCTGGATGAAGCGCTGCTCGGTGATGTGCCGCACGGCCGTCTGCCACAGCAGGCGCTGGGGTCTGCCGCTGCCGGGGGGAGTCCTGTTGATGGTGTAAAGTTCATCGCTGTCGCTCAAGCACCGCACCTCCGAGAGCTCCATGGCGGTGACTGGCGGGGGGCAGAGCACCGGCTGGCGGGGGGG